TCATAAGAACACCATAGATAGAGAGAAAAATCATACTTGAAGGTTCTTATAACCATTAACACAAAATTGAAGAGGTAAAAAAAAGAAGAAGAACTACATTTAGGTGCTAGTTTGAGAAAGAATTTGACCAAGCTTCAAGTAGGATCTTCAATTACCAAGGCACCATGGATTTGGGAAGTAGTTCAAGGAGAGGGGATGGACTGAAATCATGATTGGGGAGAATGAGGGAAGAAGATGACTTGAAATAGAAAAATATTTGGTAGCTTATACTCTTTTAGTCCTTCCTTGCAAAACACTTTCAGAATGTCTCCAAACTAGCTAAGGAACGTAAATAACTTCCAAAATGGTCCATCGCACCCTAACCTCACAAGAACTTAGTTCAAGTCATTAGATGGTTAACTCACAAATCAAACTTAAGTTTGACTTGATCGACAAAATGTGGCCCTTCTTGCTAATTTAATTCGTATGACACTAAAATCTTATTAGTTTATAAATATATATTAACTAGTGATAAGACTTTTATTATTATTTTTATCATTTCCTCACATTTTCATTATTTTCATTATTTATTTTTATTTTATTTTTTATTTTTATTCTTCAATTAGAATTTTATGTTTACCAAAAACCAAAAACTTCTAGCCCCAAAACATGATGTTACATTTAGAGAAAGAAACTTTGGAAATAAGATGCACATAAGTTGTTTGATAAAATGCCTTTAAGGGCCTATTTGGTTGGTTTTAATCCCTTGGACTTATGAGAAATTAAGATCCAATTCTATTGGAAATATGATTTAGTGGCACTTGGAAATCTAAGAATCGTGATAATCACTTTCATATCGAAGTATTTGGGTGGTACTCCCAAATCCTCAATTGGATAAGACTCAGATTAAATCAGAGAGAAAGAAAGAGAATGAGAGGATATGATTTCGTGAGTACCAAAAATGAGACCAAAACTTAATTTAGATCTTTGTCTGAAAACGGTTCAGCCAGGGGCTCTGCCCCATGGACCCTGCCAGGGGCTGCCGCCCCTTGGGCCCCGCTCCAGGGGCGCTGCCCCCGGACGCCCGTTCGTTCTGGGGATTCGCCCCTAAATGACAGTGTATTTTGATACTTGATCAAACTTAAACAAGTGTGTACTCCACACCTTCCTTACTTGTTTGATATTTATCAAGATCACTTTTGGTCAACAAAGTAATCCTATTACTTAAATAGCATTGATGATAACAAATCACCAACAAACCTTCCCCATTTAAGAGTAATCTTGATTAACTTAAAATGAAACATAACACTAACAAACTGATGCATAAATGAAATGTCATGATGATTGAATTTCATATTATTATATTATACAATCCAAATATTCGAATATCAGGGTGTCACTAAGGATTGAACCCTTTATATCCATAGTGAATACATGAAGATAATACACACAACAGTTTACATTCTCATAAGTTCTAACTTGACACTATATTTTACTAGCTTGTGTCCCATCCTTCAATAAGCATATCAAAGTCCAAGTCCTAACTTCTTGAAGCAGCTAAACTCCATGCTTATATAGGTAGTCCTTTTATTCTTGCACCTGCAAATGCAATTTTTCAAAAGAACTATTAAGAATATAAATTCAGCCTCTTTTACTTGCAGTACTAAACACATACCTTGGATGATGATAATAATGTGTTCCAATCTTCAAATATTAAGCTTTCCACATTGAATTTAGCATCTAATATTATATTAGATGGGAATTGGGTATCTCAATATAAAAGATTTTAAGTGGACTTTAAACCCATCCCTATAGCCGCCTTGTGCACAAGATCTCTTGCTAACCCTTTGGTTAAATGATCGGTTAAATTCATTTGAGTTCTTACAAACTCCACAGATATCACACCAGTCATGATGAACTCACGAATCATGCTATGTCTAACACCTAAATGTCTAGACTTTCCATTGTACACTTGACTATATGCCTTAGCCAAGGTTGCAACACTATCACATCTGATAGAAATGGTAAATATCGGTTTGGGCCATAATGGAATTTTATAAATCAAATTCCTTATCCATTCAGCTTCTTTACCAGCAGTAGACAATGCAACAAACTCAGATTCCATGGCTGAGTTAGTAATACAAGTCTGTTTCTTGGATGCCCAAGAAATAGCACCTCCTCCAAGAAGAAACACCCAACCACTTGTAGAGGAGTGATCCTCTAAGTTGTTAATCCAGCTGGCATTAGAATAACCTACCAAAACATAAGGATATCTACTATAAGTTAAACCATAATCCATGGTCCCTTTCAAATACTTGAATACTCTATTCACAGCTTGCCAATGATGTGAACTAGGATTACTAGTATATCTACTAAGTCTTCCCACAGCATATGTTATATCAGGCCTAGTACTAATCATGGCATACATTAGACAACCAATAGCCCTTGAGTATTCAAGTTGAGACACTGGAGATCCTTTATTAGGTAGAAGCTTAAGACTATGATCTATAGGAGTGTTAATAGAAGAACAATTCTCAAAGTTAAACTTTTTCAATATCTTCTCAATGTAATGACCTGGCAGCTCGATCCCAGCCAAGGGCTCTACCCCTTGGACCCCGCTCCTAGGGGCGCTGCCCCCGGACCCCCGTTCGTTCAGGGGCTTCGCCCCTAAATGACAGTGTACTTTGATACTTGATCAAACTTAAACAAGTGTGTACTCCACACCTTCCTTACTTGTTTAATATTTATCAAAATCACTTTTTGGCAACAAAGTAATCCTATTACACTTAAATAGCATTGATGATAATAAATCCCCAACAAATTCTACCACTTTCTCATGTTTGGTTCAAGTTTTCATAGGGAATTGGATCATAAATGAGGGAAGGAAAGTAAATTTCATTATCAAGAGGAAGGATTAGAATCTCATTCAAGAGTGATTGTTGAAGATTATCATATTACACCAACACCTACCACCACTACTACCAATGTCACTAGCATTGCCACCACTTCTGCCACCTCCATCGTTGCCACCGTTCACCACCATCGCAACTACCATCAACCACAGCCACCACCGTTGCCGCCACTACCACCACCTCCACCACAACACACGGGATGTGGAATTTGATTCCAATTTCATATCCGGTCAACTAAACAAGATATGAAATTTGATTCTAATTTCTGACATATTCCATTACTTTGACAAATTTCAATTCCTTCATAAACATCATGCACACCGAACAAGAGTTTTTAAACTTTGAATGTTTTGTATTAAACTATGAATGTGTGTATTAAATTTTCCCACCAGCAGTGGCCTAACCACCTCCCCTTTACAGTTGCCTCATATTACCGGTAGAAACAACCACCAACGCCATTGTTTAATTATGAATGTGTGTATTAAATAGTGAATGATCTATAAATGATATATTAAATTGTAAATAGGACGGAAAAAATGCCTATAATTTTGGTGTTATATAAATTTCAGCCTAATGACTATGAATGGTTTATATAATTATATTCACTGTTTAATAAGTATGAATGGTTGGTTTTTAGAATTTCTAACATGTAGAAATTTTATTTGAATATATATATATATATATATATATATATATATATATATATATATATATATATATATATATATATATATATAGGAAAAGTGAATATACCTTAATATATAAGCTTAGGTACCCAAAATCATCATAATACATCGTTTTGTTTGATATATTTATTATAATGTTCTTCAACTTCAATCTTTAACTTGATTTACTTTCAAGATTTTCAAAATTTCATTATTATCTTTCTCTTACCTCACATCTTTTTGACGAACATCAATTAGGCTATATATATTATAGTTGAAAATGAAAATTATGTAAGAGGAAAATAAATGTGATATATATATATATATATATATATATATATATATATATATATATATATATATATATATATATAATTCAAATAAAATTGTTGTGTTTTTAAAGATACTTTTGATCTCTATATTGTTTATCGATTAAAGGTTTTTATTCGTGATATTATTCAATGACATATAGCAACAAGAATAAACAAAAGAAAATTTAAATATCCACCTGTAACCTGTATTTTGTTCTTAGTTATCTTCCTATTCAAAATTTTATTTGGTAATCCATTTTCTTGACATCTATCATTATTTATCATTATGTACTAAGTAGGAAGATTAGTAAAGTAAAAGAATATCTGATTTCTGTAAACAAAATGAAGTTGCTTTGGACAGCTCTCATGGTACGTGTGGTTTTCTGCTAAATCCTGCAGAGATGAAGGTGGGTCAGGTTTGTCCTATCTAAAAGATATTTATTTTTATTTTTTTTATATTTTGTGTGAATGTTATACTATAAATCTTTTCTCCAATACTTTCTTAGGGTGGATTGTGGGAGTTTATTCATTCCATCATTTTCTTTCCAACTCGATCATCCCACTAACACATGAAAGGTCAATTTTCCCAATTTACATAACTTTTAATTTTTAAAAAATATAAGTTATAAGTCAAAACAAAAAAAAATGGTCCAAACATCAGTTTTTTCAAAAAAAAAAAAATTGAGGCTTTTTTTGAAAAACAAAAAATGTATGAAAACAAACAAAAAAAAACACAGAAACCCGCTAAAATGGCTAATAGGGAAAACAAACAAACAAAAAAAAACAAAAAAACAAAAAAACAAACAATTACCTAAGGGGAAAATTATAGGAACTATTTTAGAAAAAAAAATGAAGTTTAATCCAAAAAAAACCATTATATACACCTTACGTTGATTTGAAATTGTAGTAGTATTGCAATTTGCAAGGGTCCTTAACAAGCATTTCAAGAAACCACTTACAATAAACACATCAAAAAGCCAATCAACCACTTGTTTGTTAGATTCCATACAAAGTATTTCTTTCTACATTAACTTTGTCATCTTATCATATCATATCATTATCATATTCATATTCATACCAATCCCCCTAACAGAACACCATCCACAGTTAAAGACATATATGTTGAGATCCATTCACCTACAACAAAATGCAACAGTTGCAACACGAGACCCAACTGATCCACCAAACATAAAAGTTGGATACGAACGAATATGATCCAAATACCAAAATAAACCCCCCCTTCCTTCTTCTTCTTCTTCCATCTCCCCAATCTTTCTTTGATTAAAATTCTCCACTTCTTGCACCAATTCCTCTTTAGTATTATTGCACGATGTAATCACCTAAACAAAATTATATATTTATATCCATCAAAATCAAAAACATTAAAAATAAATAAATACGTTGTAACTTACTAATAGTCCACCAGGAGCTACAAGTCTTGACATAGACTCCCAATACATAATCCTGTAATTTAAACAAAATTAACCTCTAATTATCAAGAATTATGTAAAAAACCCTCCACTTCCAGTCCACCCATTTTGGTGATTTTGTAAAGTACATATAGATACCTTTTAATGGGTCCATCTTGATGGAGACCAATAGCATCTAAAGTTCCCTTATCCATAACTAACTCAAACTTTTTCTCCAATTTTGTTTCAAGAACATCATCAACTAACAGTTTGATTCCAGTAAATCCATCACGAATAGCAAGGCTTCGAGCAAGGTTAATTGCTCCTTCACTATAATCTGTTCCAGTCAGATCAGAGAACCTATATATATAGATATACACCAATCACCATCAAAAGTTGAAAAAAGAAAGATTCATCATCACACACTATAATGAGGAAGGAATAAGTTTATGTAATATTATAATATATAATGTACCCTTGTTTAGCAAGCTCTTGAAGAAGCAGCCCATTGCCTGTCCCAACATCAACAACACTCCATCCTGCTAAATCTTGACTAACAGACTCAGAGACAGAGTCATCATCAAGATCATTATGATGATTTTGTAATTGTCTTTGTGAAATGTCAATGCATAGTCCTTTTGTCCAGGAAGCAACCATTTCCATCACATCTGCCCCAAACCTTGACGAATGAAAAAGTTATACAAAAAAGCATGAAGGTATAATATGTTCAGTTGTAGTCAATTAATTAGATAAGCATACCAAACTTCACCAGCATCCCCATGTTCACGAAAATTTGTCAATTCATCTGCATATGTTGCATCCCAGTAACTTTGATACCCCAGCATGGATGTAAATGTAAATGTTTCGGCATCAGCTTCTTCCTTGTCAGAGCTTTAGGAAAAGAGTATTAGCATTTATTGATATGAATAGTTATCAACTTATCATTCAACATTGTAATCCAAGTTTCTTCTGAACAGATCGCAGCAATTAGAAAACTATTCATCATGAAAATTGGGAATAATTCTGGTTTTGAATGTCTATTATGAATGTTAGGTAGTAAGCTCGTGTGGATTCAGTAGCAGAGATAGGATGCCGATAGATAATATCATATTATATAGAATACCAGTAGTTATCAACTAATTATCCGTCTTCTCTGAATCAACAAACACTTAATCTTCGTTACACTGGTCAATTTGAGTATATTCCTAATATAAACAGAACCAAATTCATATGCATGCTCACATATTCTTATTATCTGCTGTTCTGTTTTTTACTGACATAACTTCAATGTATAATTGCTAACAGTAATCAACGGAAAAACGAATTAACTTCGTGTAGTACGGAATTTTTATGAAACTCGAAAGCAACCTAACCTATAATCAGAGGCAGCACAAAATCTGGCCGCTGCTAGAGCTTCGGATGCATCGGCATGACGTTGATCGTCATCAAGGGTACTACCATAGTCACTCTTGATGGACCAAGAGTCGGCCGCGATAGAACGGTCGTCATCGGAGATCAGATCGGCGGTTGACAGGGCTCGTGCCTGTGAGATGTCGATGTCTTCCGGATGCAACCGAATTCCGGCCATACCCGGAAGATGAGGGATTGAGGGACAAATTTTGAAGGTTTAGAGAAAAAGAAACCCTAGGGAGAGAAAGAGAGGATTTGCAGAGAGGGAAGAGTGATGGGAACGTACTGCTCTTGGAGAATCTGGCAAACCAATTTAGGAACAAACGAATTTCGAAATATGGAAATGGAAATTTTTAAAAAATAAAAAGAAAATTCTAAAATTTGCCCATCAGATCTACTCCTAAACTAATTTTCATTAACAAAAAATAAATTCTTTTATGATTTATTCCTAAATTATTTTTCATTAACGAAAAAAAAAAACATTAATGTAATCAGTTTAGCCATTTCATAGGGTAAACCATTAATTAGCCGATTACCATGAGTCAATCTTATTACTCTCCATTAATCTTCCTCGATACTCATTTGTAAAATGATTGATAAGAAAACATCTCATAAAAACATCTTCTCACAGGCAAACCCTATTTTAAATAACTGAAGTACAACTGATAAGAAAATCAAAACAACTCCATGTGGTATTTAATTATCTTGTAATCAGAATTGTTTCCCTTGAATTATTTTGATTAATGTTTTGATACGGTCAAACTAGGTGCAAGACCTGCACTCTTTGAGTGAGTGCCGACTCCAGTAGAAGAGAAGAAAGAAACAGAGAATTTTGAATCAAAAGTCTTTGTATGGTTTTTTATTATTACTTTAAATACTACCAAAAGAAAAGCAAGAGATAAGCAATCCAAAACAAACACATGTCCTTATCCTACTGCAATTCAAATACTAAGACTATCACATACTAGTAGTAATATTGATTTCATTCATTGCTTATCATGTAATCTTCATGTCACTTAGGCGCCACCGATACCCAAATTGTACGATGCGTCCCTCCTAGTTCAGGTGCAACCACTCGATCCGGACATAGCATTCCCCTCCGCTTTAGAAAGCACATTGTCCTCAAGGTGGTAATCAGGATAAGCATACTGGAATTCATCGAGCCACTCCGACGACGCCTCGACAAGCAAGCGACCGGACCATTGTACGAGCACTTGTATCGTGGGTAACCCTCTTCAAAACACACATCGAGATGCATAAATAGCAAGAGGCCGTTGTAAATTCTGCAAGTTCTGGCTAGACATTTAAGATATAATACATAATAATGATAAATATAAATCCTCGATTAGGATTACCATTAGTTGTGCGCATTGCAGACTACGTATTACCAAGTCATTTTAGTAATTTATCGATAAACGACGAAATGGCAATCTTGATAGAAGATTCTTTAGGACAAATAATCTTGATAGAAAATGCAAGAGTTGCAGATGAAACCCGTACACATAAAACACACTGAAATTCGAATTCGTATGCAACAGTTATAAACTTCCGAAAGTTTCACGGTCAGAGAGTGTATCGCAAATAGTGAATTGGACATAGGTTGCTTATTAGCTTAATTAATCTAAACAAGAGTCTTATTATTCACAAAACCGAGAGCGCGCATAAAGAGAACTCTCAAATCTGACATCATAATAGGAAGTTATGATTTTCCTAAGTTTCAGTGACAATGTGCAATATTGATATCGACTTTTAGATCGGTTGATGATTAGCCGAAACAATCTAAACGAGAATCGAATATCCCGTTAATAGGAACCCGAAAATATAAAGACAATCGAGAACGAATGTCAAAAAAAAGAGTTATGTATTTTTAACAGACTTTAACAGTCTACGCCTGTTAAAAGTATAACTTTAAAAATAAAAGCAAAATTAGCTGACGGAGTCTAAACAGAAGTTGTAGATATCTTTGATAGTTACGCGTGGAATAAAGCAAGTTGAATAAGGAGTTCGTTTAAACAAGTTATGAAATTTCTAAGAAAACATAAAATTTCGCTCGCAGCCACGCGCACAGACAACATGTGTGGCACGTAACGACACACGACCCAGAATGTGACACGTAGCACCATGCAAAAGGTGACACATAACCTTGTTCCGACCAGATACACAGCACGCACCTTATCTATGTGCGCCACACTCATTTTTTACCTATATATAGATCTCGGATTTCAATCATTTTTTACACCTAATTCCCTTCGAATCTCTCTAAAGTACCTTCTAGCTTTTAGCCCCTTTTAGTCCATTTTACTCCCAAGTCTTCGTCCCCTTCGACGAAGCCCTACGGTATCAGATAGTTGGTAAATAAAAGCTCCCGGATTAGAGTTATGCCCGCGTAATTCCCGATTTTCGATAGATTACTCTGTAAGTTAAGCTACACTTATTTTATTTAGGTGTAAATTTTAATTATAGTCATAGTCATTATTATGAATCTATAATTAAGATTTATCAGTGATTCCAAATCATTATACTGATTGATCCACTTACGAGAGTGATTTTATGATGGATTTAATGAAGTGTTTAAAGTGTGATTTCCAAACAGTATACTCTATTATACCAAACGGAACCTACTTATGATATGATCCTACCTGATTATTCCTTACATGATAGATCTTGATGTAAACATTGGGATTATTAAGGAATCTAGACTATAATTATTATAGTCACCAGGATTATAAAACTAGACTAATGCTTAGTGTTATATACGTCTAGGTCTTTTTAGAAGTGCGAAGCGAAGCACTACCGAAATCATCAGTCGCCCATTTTTATCAAGTGAGTGCATAGTCTCTTTTCATGAGCATGATTTAATACAAGTATTAATTAAAGTATTAAATATTTGTTGGTAGTCGTGTGTGAATTATATGCTTATTTTATGGATTATATATATATATATATATATATATATATATATATATATATATATATGTGGGGGGGGGGGTATGTATGTGTGTGTGTCTATATATATATATATATATATATATATATATATATATATATATATATATATATATCATGCTATGTGCGAACCGAATATGGTTCTACTTTATGTTGGGATAAATAGATAACTCTATATAATAATATTAGAAGTAGCACTGTTAAGAAGATAAATGAACAATAATACATAATACTCTATACAGAATATGTACACGAAAGATAGGTTAGTGTCATCCAAGAATATAGTTGGTATTAGAAGTTAGTTACAGGCGTTGTAATCTAGTTTATGGATAAACTAGACTTATGGAAGATACCTAATTCATTTAGGTTTGATATTGGGTAGTCTTATTAGGAGAATGTGTATAAGTTAGAAATGAAGAGTAAATTTTGTGACAATACTAATATCGACTTTTAGATCGGTTGATTATTAGCCGAAACAATCTAAACGAGAATCAAAGATCTCGTTAATAGGAACCCGAAAATATAAAGACGGTCAAGAACAGATGTCGAAAGAGAGAGTTATGTATTTTTAACGGACTTTAACAGTTTAATCCTGTTAAAAATATAAATTTAAAAATAAAAGCAAAATTAGTCGACTGAGTCTAAACGGAAGTTGTAGATATCGTCGATAGTTACGCATGGATATAAAACAAGTCGAATAAGGAGTTAGTATAAGCAAGTTATGAAATTTCTAAGAAAACATAAAATTTCGCGCGCAGCGACACGCACAGACAACATGTGCGGCACGTACTGGCACACGAAACAGAATGTGACACGTAGCACCACGCAAAAGGTGACACATAACCTTCTTCCGACCAGATACGCAGCGGGCACCTTATCTATGTACGGCCACACTCATTTTTCACCTATATATGGATCTCGGATTTCAATCATTTTTTACACCTAATTCCCTTCGAATCTCTCTGAAGTACCTTCTAGCTTTTAGTCCCTTTTAGTCCATTTTACTCCTGAGTTTCTGTCCCCTTCGACGAAGCCATACGGTATTACATAGCTGGTGAATAGAAGCTCCCGGATTAGAGTTATGCCCGCATAATTCCTGATTTTCGATAGAGTACTTTGTAAGTTAATTTACACTTATTTTATTTAGGTGTAACTTTTAATTATCGTTATAGTCGTTATTATGAACCTATAATTAAGATTTATCAGTGATTCCGAGTCATTATATTGATTGATCTACTTACGAGAGTGATTTCTAGACTGGATTTAATGAAGTGTTTAAAGTGTGATTTCCAAACAGTATACTCTATTATACCAAACGGAACCTACTTATGATATGATCCTATATGATTATTCCTTACATGATAGATTTTGATGTAAACATTGTGATTATTAAGGAATCTAGACTATAATTATTATCTCACTAGGATTATAAAACTAGACTAATGATTAGTGTTATATACGTCTAGGTCTCTTTGGAAGTGCGAAGCGGAGCACTGCCGAAATCATCAGTCATCCATTTTTATCAAGTGAGTGCATAGTCTCTTTCATGAACATGATTTAATACAAGTATTAATTAAAGTATTAAATATTTTTTTGTAGTCGTGTGTGAATTATATGCTTATTTCCTGGATTATAAGTTAAGATATATATATATATATATATATATATATATATATATATATATATATATATATATATATCATGCTATGTGCGAACCGAATATGGTTCTATTTTATGTTTGGATAAATAGATTTTTTTTTGAAACGACAAATCTAATATATTATTAAACTATACCTTGAACTCACTTATGTCCACAATAGGACTTGAACCATCAACCTCAAGGAAAGAGAGCAACATCGGATACCGCTAGGCTATAATAATATTAGAAATAGCATTGTTAAGAAGATAAATGAACAATAATACATAATACTCTATAGGGAATATATATACACTAAAGATAGGTTAGTGTCATCCAAGAATAGAATTTGTATAATAAGTTGGTTATGTGCGTTGTAATCTAGTCTAGTGATAAACTTAGACTTATGGAAGATACCTAGTTCAATTAGGTTTGATATTGGGTAGTCTTATTAGGAGAATTTGTGTAAGCTAGAAATGAGGAGTAAAGTTCTATTCCGTGACACTCTCAGGTTTAGATGTACAGTAGCTCCGTACGGGAGTATGTTATTGTATTCCCCTTGGATAACCGAAAATGATAGGTCTTATTCAGACAACTATAATGGCATATCCAGACACCTCCAAGAGCAGGTGGCAACAATGGACCATTCTAGATAATCTTGTGAATACTTTTGTGGCATGAGATCATACTGATAGACGTAGATGAAATGGGATACCATATTCATCAAATACTCTGATGACCCATATGTCTTTATGATTGCACCAACCAAGGAATCCCCTAGCTTAGTAGGCAAGCTTTTTTAACCATTCATCAGGAGAGGTAATTTATCCCTGATAATTTGTGAGGATCGATAGGAATGGATATGTGGGATGTAATCCTATATGGACATTGCATGGTAATAGTTGATTTTTCAAGTCTGGTAATTAAGGAATATTATCATAACAATACCGTGGGATTAAAATCCATATGCATCTAACCAGGTTTCTCAACCTGACCCACTCAGTTTACATGCATCAGAGGTATCAAGACTTGAGCTAATGGAATTTGATTAAGATGTTGAGTGATTAAGAGATAGCATGCAATAGAGTTCATGACCATTAGGCATGTACAATGTAAATTATGTTTCTGTATCGATTATGACATCCTTAGGGTTTTATTAACTTGATACAATCACTTGTACTCAAAAGTTTTCAAATATACTGGTAAATTCCGCATCAATAATAATATAAGCATAAAGAAAAGTTTCAACTGATTCTAAAAATTAGAGGGTGCCACAGTTGATATAAGAGCATTAGTTTAAACAAACTAGGAATAAGGATTTCCCCCTAAACGTTGAGATTACGGATAACCGTATTGTGAGTGCTCCGAGGGTTCATCGCGGGTGTGTCCTGAATCTGTTTAGTGAAAGGTACTCTATTGAATTGGTGTTGATTCCCTTGAAAGGATTGAAAGTTATTATCGGGATGGATTGGTTGGTCCCCAATGGGGCCATGATTGATTGTGAAGGACAGATGGTGAGAGTTAGAACCCTAAGTGGGGGAGAACTTGTTATTCTTGGCGAGAGAGCTTCGCATGGACCAGCTCTTTGTTCAGTTGCGAGAGCCAAGAGATATCTACACCAGGGTTGTTCTGGGTTCCTATCTTGAGTTGAAGACACTAGAGTTGAGGGTACAACAAAGTTGAGTGGAATGCCCATTGTTCGGGATTTCCCTAATGTGTTTCCTGAGGACTTACCATGAGTGTCTACCGAGAGGCAGGTGGAGTTTCGGATTGATCTGGTTCCTAGTGCAGCTCTAATAGCAAAGGCGTCATATCACCCGGCACCACCAGAGATACAAGAGTTGTCTACGCAACTACATGAGCTGCAAGACAAGGGTTTTATTCGTCCGAGCATCTTGCCATGGGGAGCACCGATTCTGTTTTTAAAGAAGAAGGATGGTTCATAAATAATGTGTATTGATTATAGAGAGTTAAATAATCTAACAGTGAAGAACCGTTACCTACTTCCAAGGATTGACGACTTGTTTGATCAACTTTAAGGTGCATCTTGGTTTTCCAAGATTGATTTGTGATCGGGGTACCATCATATGAGGGTTAAGGATGGTGATGTACAGAAGACCACCTTTAGGAGTCGTTATGGTCGCTATGAGTTCGTGGTGATTCCCTTCGGGCTCACCAATGCACCAGCAGCATTCATGGATCTCATGAACCTAGTCTGCAGGCTGATGCTAGATCGGTTTGTGATTGTATTTACTGTTGATATCATGGTCTACTCCAAGGCCAAGGAGCAGCACAAGGAGCACCTACGGGAGGTGTTAGAGATCCTAAGGAGGGAGAGACTTTATGCCAAATTCTCTAAATGTGAGTTATGGTTGCGCGAGGTGCAATTCCTAAGACACATCGTCAACCAGAACGGTATCTTGGTCGACCCGACCAAGATCGAGGCCATGGTGTGATGGGAGGTTCGAGAACCGCATATGAGATCCATAGTTTCTTAGGTCTCATATGGAAATATCGAAGATTAATCCATGATTTCTCCAAGATTGCAATACCTTTGACCCGTTTGACAAAGAAGAATATGACTTTTGGGCCTGATCAGCAGTTGGCTATTAAGACTCTGAGAAAGAGATTATGTGAGACCTTTATTCTCATGCTTCCTGAGGGATTATATGATTTCTTGGCTTATTGTGACGCCTCTATTTTAGATTTGGGAGTCGTTCTTATGCAGAGGGGTCATGTGAGTACTTACGCTTCAAGGCGGATGAAGCCTCATGAGCCGAACTACCCTACAAATGATTTGGAGTTAGAAGCCATGATTTTTGCCCTTATGATTTGGAGAAACTATCTATATGGGATTCGGTGTACTATCTACATTGACCACAAGAGTTTGAGGTACTTGATGGACAAGCCGAACCTGAATATACAGCAACGGAGATGGTTGAATGTGATAAAGGATTATGATTACGAGATCTTGTACCACCCTGGGAAGGCCAATGTGGTGGCTAATGCTTTGAGCAGCAAGGTGGTAAGTTTTTCTATCAGATATATATGTTTGAGGATGGTTATCACATCGCCTTTGTTGGATTTGATCAAGAAGGCTCGGGTGAAGGGATTGAAAAGGAGAATTGGAAGGTCGAGCGGATTAGGGGACATATTCCCTTATTTAACAGAGCAGTCGAGGGTTGTTGACTCAATGTGGTTGAGTTTGGGTTATGGCATCAGGTGGGGTGAGACAAACAGTTCTGGAGGGTGCATAAGTCAAAGTTTTCTATCCATCCGGGGGCCACGAAGATATACAAGGATCTAAGGTTGAGCTATTGGTGGCCCTGTATGAAGAGGGAGATAGCTTGGTTTGTTGAGAGGTGTTTTACTTGAAGGAAAGTCAAGGGAGCATTAGAGACCCTACGGCAAGAGGCAACCTTTACCCATTCTCATGTGGAGGTGGGAAGATATTACTATGGATTTCATCACAAATTTTCCAAGGACGACACGTGGTGTTGATTCTATATGGGTTATTGTTGATAGATTAACCAAGAGTGTGCATTTCATACTGATTGTCGAGAGCATATCCATAGAGAAGTTAGCTAACATCTATGTTCAACAGGTGGCAGTTCGGCACGGGATGCTAGTTTCGGTAGTTTCAAACCGAGATGATAATTACACCTCCATGTTCTGGAGGAAGTTTCATGAGGAGTTGGGTACTCAGCTACATTTTAGTACAACATACCATCCCCATACTGACGGCCAAAGCGAGTGGACGATTCAGACGCTCGAAGACATGCATCGGGCTTGTGTACTAGATTTTGGAGGGAATTGGGATACTTACCAACCACTGGTAGAGTTCTCCTACAACAACAGTTATCATGCCATTATCGATCGACCACCATTTTAAGATGTTGTATGAAAGAAGGTTCAGGACCCCGATTTATTGCCGGGGGGGTCTTGAATCGATTCATGGGGAGTACAGAGGTTGTACTCAAGACTACTAAGTTGATTCAGCAAGTGCTAGACAAGTTGCGATTCGCGCAAAGTCGGCAGAAAAGTTATCATATCGGCGACATTTGGACCTCGAGTTTCAGGTAGAAGACTTGGTGCTTCTGAAGGTGTCACCTTGGAAAGGTGTCATCCAATTTCGGAAGCAGCGCAAGTTGAGCCCCATATTCATTAAGCCTTTCAGGATTTCGGCCTGGGTGGGCAAGGTTGCATACTGACTGGATTTTCCTGATGAGCTCAGCTAGATCCATAACACCTTCTATGTGTCTCAACTTAGGAAGTGTGTGGCTGATGTGTCCTCAATTGTTCCTCTAGATGATATTCAGGTTGATGATCGCCTGAATTATGTGGAGAGGTCGGTGGCGATCGTAGATCGGAAGATGAAGGCTCTACGTAACAAATAAGTGTCACTGGTCAAGGTCCAGTGGCAACATCAAAAGGGTTCCGAATGGACATGGGAGCCTGATGGGGAGAGTTGTAACATCTAATTTCCAGGTATTCACTTTTGACCCTTGAGTTAAGTTTTGTTTTCAAGATTGGTCCTTAATGGTAATTTAGTAGTAGTGGGTGCAGTACGAATACAATGGGCGTACACCTTGGTACGTTCGGCGTATTTGGCCTCGTGAACGTACGTTGGGTGTACACGTTAAGGAAGAGCATTTTGAGCTTTTAGAGTGAATAGTGGGCTTTCTTGGTTGTGAAGGAAGAGCATCAAGGAAGTACCTTTGCTCTCAAGACTTTGGATCCAACATTTTCTCTTCATTGTGCATCTTGTGGAGGTAAAAAGCGTCAACATTGATGTATATTTCTTATGGATATAGTTTTAGCTTAAAGTTATCACCTTTTTGTCCTAAACATGATCTTTGTGAGTAGGAGATACTCGAAGACATTTGAGTTGTCCTTTCATAGGTTTTAGGGTGTGTTAAGTCATAAAAAAGTGTTTTTGGTCATTAGTTTCTTTCCATACATGAGCTAGATTGTCTTAATGGGTAAAGAAGCTAGGGTTTTTGGAGCTAAGGTCTTAATAGCCATGCTAAACCATAAAGTTGGAAAATTTACGATTAAGGGCATCCTTTTGAGCCTAGATCTGGATTTTGAACGTAAATGCTTAAGGATTAAGCACCTAACGGGTAAAGTAGTGAGCAGTCGCGTACGTTGGGCGTACCAAGGGGTACGTTGTGCGTATGTTGTTAGCTCCACGATCCTTAGTCGCGTATGTTAGGCATACCAAGGGGTACTCCACTGAAGATTTCAGATAGACAATTTGTTGTTGGAGACTCCTCTCATTTGCACGAAGCTTAACCGCCATAATTTTTAGACGATGAATATGCCGTGCTCCTGCAGTAAAAAAGAAGGAACTTTGGGCATAAGCAAATTCCATAAAGCCAACTGTTTGGTCATCGGTAAAAGCTTCCATCTCGGAAACGGTCCCTTTAGGGAAGACATGACGCGAAAATTCAGCAAATTCAGCAGCAACTTCTTATTGAGAAAGACGAGACTTATCAGTGAGATTCCATTTGGGAATGAAAAGATTGTTGGATGAAAGATTCTTACCTTGAAAATTGTCAATGAGGTCATCATAGTTAGATGTTTTCAAGACAGCAGGAGACTTACCCTTATAAACCGGAGTTGGCTCTGTTGGGCGAGTCCCAGCAGGACCTTTGTTCATGATGGGCTACTTAGGCGCCTCTGGTATCCCTTCAGACTGGTGCACGCCGTCATCAAGGATACTTATTACTTCATCACTAGAGGACATCAGAGTTGCGATAAAGTCGGTGGTAAGCTTGCATCAACGACAGCGGTCAGCACTGGTCTTTTCCTTGGCCATATCAGAAAGAGTTGCAAGGCTCAGAAGCCCTATTTGCCTAGTCACACGGGATGTTGCACCCACCACAATCCCTTCTTTGTTATCTTCCACATGCTCTAAACCCTCAGAAGGGATGGGATGAAGAAGCACGACAAGAGGTGCATCGGGCGGGTTACCAGGGGAAGGTGTCTTGCCAGAAGGGATCGAGACGACAGGAGTAGCGAATCCATAGGCATATTTCTAACAGGGATAAGGAAGGATGTCATGAAGAGCTACCGGTCTAAACTATAGACCCCCTTGGAACTTCCGCCCAAGCACATCAGAAAAAGACAACACTTGTCTCTTACCTAAAAGATAATACATCCTTTTTTCATGCTTTAGAAAAAACAGGGGGGGGGGGGGGGAATAGGAACAGAGACGAAATAGGAAAGTCAAAAAACGTTATATCTTAATCCCATTAGTGATAAAAAAAAAAAAAAACTCAAGCTTCTCTTGACGACGACGCCACTCAGTGCTCATCTCCAAACTAGCAAGAATGCATTCAAGGAATTGCTCCGGAGCTTGATCTCAGCCAAGTAACTTGGGAGCGCTATCAGACGTCGCTACAGTTCGAACATAGGGACCTCCAAAACAAGAATTATTTACCCAAAACCAATGGTTTTTCCAGTTCTTCGGACTACTTTTCCCGTCAGGAACAAGGACTTAAGCATTCTTCTTGGCGTAGAAAGTAAACTTGTCACCAACAGTAGAAAAATAGAAAAAGTCTTTGAACACTGGGAGCCTTGGAAGAAAACCTAATGATCGACACAACATCTCAAAAGCAACGACCTTGTTTACGACATTAGGAGTAAGGTCGTAAACATTAACCCCGTTCTTGCAAAGCACCTCATCGAGAAAATCAGTGGTTGGAAGTCGGTAGCTAGCATCAAAGGTCCTGACATAAACTCCGACCTTCCTCGTAGGAGGCTCCGTCCAACGGAACAAGTACGTCATCCTCCGGCTAAAAGTCATACTTCTCCCGGAGAGTCTCAGCGTACTCAAAAGTTTGGGTGACGCCATAGGAAGAAATCATGCTAACAGGGAGATCCATCTTCTTTAAAAGAAGAAGAACAAAGAAAGAAGAAGGAAACTGAGAAGAAAAGAAGCTTACATATAAGGTGGAAGGAGGGTATTTATGGATAGAGATCATGGCAAATCAAATACCCAGAGAAAAGTTGGACAGTTCACAGAGGCAATAGCTACTCAACAAGTGAGAAAATGACATGTGTGCCTATGATTCTAGCACATGATTACTCGCTACGCTGCTTCATCACTACCAGACTAAGGGGCTTGATGACATACCCCATAAAGGTCTATCGAAACACAACTAAAAACAATGGCGTCCAGTCATAGCAAGGCAGCCACTGGCTTGAATACATCTAAGGGAAAATAGCTAGGCGGCACTAACCGGCTAGGCCTGGGACCCAGCAGAAGCCAGCATCGAGACAAAATATTGAGGAGACAGACGGTAGGGTCGGCCACCCTCGACAGCCAGCATCATATAGAAGAAGACTCCTTAATTTCCACGCAATACCATGAGCTAGCGTATGGAAGCAGGCGTCAATATGGTCGTGCAGAGGCCACTACCATTAATTCCCTCTGCACCAATCAGAGCAAATGGTGATACAGATAAGGACGTGTGGACCAATGGCAATCTAGTATAACAAAAACCGTTGTTATGGTCCCCCTAGTCCTTAAAGCGCTAACTATATAAGAAACGCCAAGGATCGCTAAAGGAGATATGTTCTCTCTAGACTCTCTCGCAAAGATATTACCTAAAAGCCTTACGCTATCCGTTGACTAGAGCATCGGAGCGTCCTCCCTCGATCCCCTCTCGGAGAACGTCTAACGAATTTCTCGTTTGTGACTAGAGGTTCCGCTTGGAGGATTTCTTAGCCAACCGGAATCACACCGGTGGAACGACGTCGCAACACCACTGGAGGTTGAGATTGCAGATGACCGTACAGTCAGTGGTTCAAGGGTTCATCGCAGGTGTGTCTTGAATCTATTTAGTAAGATACTCTATTGATTTGGTGTCGATTCCTTGAGATGATCGAAGGTTATCATCGGGATGGTTTGGTTGGGTCCTAATGGGGCCATGATTGACTGCGATCGATGGCTAGTGAGAGTTCTAACCCCAAGTGAGGGAGAATCGGTTATTCCTAGCGAGGGAGCTTCGCATGGACCGACTCTCTGTTCAGATGCGAGGGTCAGGAGATATCTTTAGCAGAGTTGTTTTGGGCTCCTAGCTTATGTTTTAAACACTCTAGTGACGGAGTTGAGTGGGGTGCCCGTTGTTAGGGATTTCCCTGATGTATTTCCTTAAGATTTGCCAGGAGTACCTCCCGAGAGGCAAGTTGAGTTTCAAATTGATTTGGTCCCTGGTGCAGCTCTGATATCCAAAGCACCGTATCGCTTTGCACTACCAAAGATGCAAGAGTTGTCTACGTACCTTCAGAAGCTTCTAAACAAGGATTTAATCGCCGAGTAGCTCTCCATGGGGAGCACCAATCTTGATTGTGAAGGACGATTCACACAAGATGTGCATTGACTAATGGGAGTTGAATAAGTTAACGGTAAAAAACCGTTACCCACTCCCGATGATTAATTAATTAATTATTTTATCAACTTCAGGACATGATGCATCTTGGTTTTCCAAGATTAATTTGCGATCATGTTTCCACCAAATGAGGATCAGCGATGATGATGTGCAAAATACAACATTCAAGACTCACTATGGTTATTATAAATTCGTGGTGATAGCTTTCGGGCTCAACAATGCATCAGGAGCATTCATAGATCTAATAAGTCAGGTTTGTAGATGGATGTTGGAATGGCCAGTGATAGTATTTATAGATGATATTCTGATCTATTCCAAGACTAAGGAGCAATATAATGAGCATTTGCACAAAGCCTTCATATTCACTTTATAGGTTGGTCTTTTGGCCCAATTAAATATTTATTCGAAAAACATATTCACTTTATAGGTTGGTCTTTTGGCCCAATTAAATATTTATTCGAAAAACCCGAACCAAATTTAACCCAAAACCCAAATTAGGCAAAAGTAATTCATACCCAAATAGCTTATTCCCTAATTCAGGTTGGTCCTATCCGAGTTTCGATTGGATATTCAATCCAAAAACACATCCATAGACTCAAAACAACAATTATCCAAGTTTCGATTGGATATTCATTCCAAAAACACATCCCTAGACTCAAAACAACAATCTTCCACTTCTGATGATGACAAAGCGTGACGAATAAATTCTAACAATCGTATATGATCCAATTAACCCCACCACCAACCCGGTAACCAAATGATACTCACTGAGTAGAAATGTACCTCTCTTTTGAGAGATAACCTTTTTCTCATATAAAGAACATATGAACACACAAGTAGCAACCATCAATTAAGATATTAAAAACACCAAATGCATCCAAAAAGCAAGTAGAGAATACCATAACCATAACCATAACCATATACAGAATCCAAAACCTGTTCCCCTTTATTATCCGACAATAAAACACAAGGGGTGAATTGATTTTCACTGAGAGGTTGAGGTTCAACCTCATCATCTCTCCACTTCTCTATCATCATCACAAAAACAAAACTTAACAAAACAGTAATTATTCAATTTTGTCCAAATTATAGCAAGCAACAAAAGAGGGGGAAATTAAACAACATTCGAATCCATTAGTGTCCTCTTAAGCATTTTCCTTTGCAATCTTCTCAGCCTTAGCAATAACCTCTTCAATTCCACCAACCATGTAAAACGATTGTTCTGATAAATCATCATACTTCCCATCCAACACTCCCTGTAATTTTCAAATTTTTAAACAAAAAACGTTTTCTTTTTTTTTTTGCCAATTAATTATAATAAAAAAAAAGGAAATAAAAACTGACCTGGAAACTAGCAATGCTTTCTTTCAACTCAACATATTTACCAGGGGCACCAGTGAAAACCTCAGCAACATGGAAAGGCTGACTCAAAAACCTTTGAATCTTGCGAGCACGTGCAACAGTCAACTTGTCATCTTCACTAAGCTCATCCATTCCAAGAATTGCAATAATATCTTGAAGATTCTTGTAGTTCTGAAGAACCTTCTGTACACCACGAGCTGTGTTGTAATGATCCTCTCCCAAAATATGCGGTGACAACATTCGCGATGTTGAATCAAGCGGATCAACAGCAGGGTAAATCCCAAGCTCAGAAATCTGTATGTAATAAGACTCATAAATTAACATATACAATCACATAAACCAAAAAGAAAAATTATATATCAACTCACCTGTCTGGATAACACAGTGGTAGCATCCAAATGGGCAAAGGTTGTGGCAGGAGCAGGATCTGTCAAATCATCAGCAGGGACATAAATGGCTTGGACAGATGTAATGGAACCCTTTTTGGTGGTTGTGATACGTTCTTGAAGCCCTCCAAGATCGGTTGCCAATGTTGGTTGATAACCCACAGCAGATGGAATACGCCCAAGTAAAGCAGACACCTCGGAGTTAGCCTGTTGATATTCATTGGTCAATGTTTGACATTCATCAAGAAAGAAAAGTTTTTTTCTCACTCTCACTTACCTGTGTGAAACGGAAAATGTTGTCAATAAAGAGAAGCACATCTTGACCTTCAGCATCTCTGAAGTGTTCAGCAACGGTCAGTCCGGTCAGCCCAACACGAGCACGGGCACCTGGAGGCTCGTTCATTTGACCATACACAAGAGCACATTTGCTCTCACTCTACAAATAACAAAAGTACAAGTAATCAGATAACAATGAAATGGGAAAATGGGAATGGAATATATATATATATATATATATATATATATATATATATATATATATATAAAGATTTACCTGCTTGTCACCTAGCTTGATGACACCACTTTCCATCATTTCTCTGTAAAGATCATTACCCTCACGGGTACGTTCTCCAACACCAGCAAAGACAGAGAAACCACCTGAGGAAACAAAACAAAATTTGTTTACAAGTGGTGTCAAGAAAATCAAGGTGTTGTCTAAATTATATAAAAAAAAGCTAAATGGGAATCACCATGGGCTTTGGCAACATTGTTAATAAGCTCCATGATGAGAACAGTTTTTCCTACTCCAGCACCACCAAAGAGACCAATCTTTCCTCCTCTTTGATATGGTGCAAGAAGATCGACAACCTATAAGAAACAACATTTCATTTCAAAATGAATCTAGAGATACTACTAAAATACAACTCTTCAATGAATTACCTTGATTCCGGTGACAAGGATTTGTTGTTCAGTTGCCTGCTCTACAAAAGCTGGGGCTTCTCTATGAATAGGTAGATAATGATCGGTTTCTGTTGATATGGAGTGAGGAAAGATAAGTTAGTCTTTCTAGAAAAAGGGAAGAAGGTGATGATACTTCATAGTAAACGAGACACTTACTGATATCGCCTCTGTGATCAATAGGCTCTCCGATAACATTAATGATACGACCGAGAGTGGCTCTGCCAACAGGTACCTACAATCAAAAAAATATATAATTTTTAAGTTCAGGTATAAGTAATGTAACATACAGATCTTAACGATCAAAAATGAAATGGCACGCGTATAAGTTTTCTTTTGGATCTAACACATTTTGATACAAAACTATCTCAAAACCCTAAATCTTCAATTTTCATAATAAAAGTTCTTTTCAAATGAAGAAATGCTTACAGTGATTGGAGATCCGGTGTTGAGCACTCGCTGACCTCTCACAAGCCCTTCAGTACCATCCATAGCAATAGTCCTCACCATATTCTCCCCCAAATGCTGCGCTACTTCCAAGACTAACCTGATCGAATTATCCAAAACCTCCAAAGCGGTAAGGATCGGAGGCAATCCCTCGCTGAACCTCACATCAACGACGGCACCAATCACCTGACACACCTGTCCGATGGAGCCGGCGCCGGTGAACTCATCAGTGATCTTTCCATCAGTAGATCCCTGAACAGTATAAGTGGCGGGTGGCTGAGATGAAGCAGCGCCGGCGGATGTAGCATAGTTGACTGCTCGGTTGAGGAAGTAACCAGTAGGGGAAGGGTGAGACTGGGAGCGCGTGCGTGCGGCTCTGCTGGAGTGAGTAAATGGAGATCTTGATGGAGATCGGTGGAGTGATGAACGGAGGAGAGAGGCCGCCAGCCTCCGTGAAGCCATGTCGGAGGAAAGTCGGAGAAAAAGGAGAGACTGCTAGGGTTTGAAATGTGTGGATGGATGGATTTGTCTCGCGAGAGACCCTGATCTAAAGTGACCGAATTTTGGGGGTTTTCAACTTTTTACATTCCGGGATTCTATACGCCAAAACAATCCCTAAATTTTGGCCCGTAGAAATTGCGACAAAAATATATATATTTTTTTTTAATTTTATTTGAAGTAACAAAATAAATAAACACAAAATTTCACGATGGTTTTTATTGTTGATGGTTATACTCCTAACTTCATTTTATTTCACAGATAATCTAAAACTACTAAAACATCCGTCCCCGCTAAGTCGTGGATCCGAATATGATTAGCATTCAAAAATTGACATACTTCTTAATAAAAGATTGTTTTTTTTTATCATTTTTCAATCTCTCATGAGTTTTAACACTTATCATTTTGTGGTAATTTTGAAATAAATATTATCCACTTGTTATTTTTTTGTTATTTTAATTTTTAATTAAAATCATATACTTATATATGTAAAGTATTAAATATCATATATATGATATTCTATTAAATTGTAATAAATACGTTTTTTTCTTTCTTATTTTAAAGTTGTACATTAAAAAATATTTCATTTTTATATTTTAAGTTTAAATAATTTTTAAATCAACCCGTATAATATACGGTCTCACAGCTAGTAATCAAACAAACAAAAGTAAGTTGAATTTAAATAATTTTTGGCATCTTCAAAAAACATAACCACATAAATATGTTATTTTTACCTTTAATTCAGAATAGGTTGTTTGTTTTGTTAAAGTTGATCAAGTGATAAAAAACCAAGAAAATATAAATATAAATACATTGTCTTCTCATGTTAAAAATTATATGAAGTGATTGCAAACCTTAAAATAATAAAGTACATTGTCATTTCCAAAAAAATATACAATCTGACAGAAAATCAAACACTAACACCAAAGTTTAAACTTTTTTTTAAAAATACAATGGTCCCTGTGAAAAAAAATATACATTTACTTTCCTTGCACTAGTTAATTTATATCTACTTTATCATAGCAATAGCTTCCTCGTCATCATATACACCTAAAGACATGTTTTGTTTGCACGTAAGAAATTAAAAGATATGTAAAAGCATTTGCCAATTGGTTTTGTTAAAAGAGATGGAAAAATGTAACTAGGAGGAGGAAATGTTGATTCTTGAAACAAAACTACTGCAAATTGGCGTGTTCGGTTAGTTTGTTTAACGACTCAGGAATCCTTCCGTTGACGGCGTTAGCTTTCGTCAACCGGACTATTTCTTTTGTGATACTAGATTAAATAAATTAAATAAAATGATGTTAATTGTTATTTAATAAAAAAAACCATAGTTGAGGGACATAAAATTTAATTAAAATGATTTGAGGCAACTAAATGTAATTTTAAATCATAAAAAATATTTAATATGAATTTTAGGGGCTAAGGTGTCATAAAAGGAAACTTTAATTGTTAACTAATTCGGGAGTGTTTGAAATTTTCTCGTAATTCTTGAGGGATCAATTAGAAAAATGTAGTATAACCCCCACGGAGAAGGATCGACCATTCTCCTTGTGTCCGTTCATTCGTATGTTTATAAAAAAATAATAATAAATAAATAAAACAATCAGTCGATTCCTAATTGTTCTCTTGTGAGCATCACATAAAAATAAATAAATTAAAAAAACGTGTGACTTGGAGGGATAGGAAGCAGCGATCGTGAGCAAGGAATAGTGTGATTTCGAGTGTGAGGCAAAACCAATGTCAATGATGAAGAAGGGTTGTGTTTTTTTGTTTCATCACTGGCTATGAATTGATTTTGGTAAGCCATTAATTCTCTTCCTATATAATCCATTCATCAATTTCTTGAGAATTCATGGAATTGATGAATCAATTTGGTGTTATTGACCATACTTATTTCTGATGGGATTTATAGATTACAATAACAATGTGCTTGCGGAATTTCACTTAACATTTAAGGGCACATGTAACATAAAAGATCTATGTCTTTAACACTTTGAATGTAACATGTTATGAACAACAAAATAATTTGAACCTTAATGCATCCCTAGTATAATTAAATAGAATAATTATGGTTACATACCTTTGATTTGTCGTGGTGAACAAATCCCTCCAGTCTCCTTCTTGAAGTGCTTGCTTCTTCTTGAAGTGTTTGGAATGCAAGCATCAAAAATCTTGTGCCTCTAATGGATCACACCTAAAACCTATAAACCTTAAAATAAAGAGGAGAGAGAGAGAGAGAGAGAGAGAGAAAGAGAATAAATGTATATTTTTTGTTCCTAAGCCTTATGGGAAGAGCATGAACGAAATTAATGTTATAATGGGTCCTATTTATAGTTGATGTAACATAGGGGCAAAGCAATATTTGGATTAGTAAATAATAGATTTAATTCCTATTTAAATCATTTTTTTATCTGCATCTAGGAGGTTTCTGGAAACCCTAAAGAGGCTCCCAAAACCTCCACCCCTTGGATGATTCTATATTTGTTTATTTTGTTCAACTATTGAACAATTACAATTCACTAGTTGAACAAATCAATTATATAACAATTGATTTCATGTTAATTCATTAATTACATAATAAATTAACATATCAATTATTTATATCCAATTAATATACTAATCATATAATATATTAACATATTATTTATCTCTCTTTCTCCTAATATAATTTCTAGCTATTTCAGGTTATGAGGGCAACCCAAAATGAACTTTGGTAATAATTCAAGATTATATTAATTTAGTTATTGACTTAGGACTTACTCCAATAGTCTCCCACATGGATAATTCTAAAAGTAAATTATAGGTATAACTTTTAAATTAAACAGCTGAGTGTGCTTTCCAAAGCAATCGTCGAACTCTAATTTAATCAAAACGTTGGTCCTTAGATAAGTGATAAAATATTCATTCATTCTGCAAGATGTCGTATAGACGTGAAACATGGATCATAATCAATCTATTAGTCCAAGATTCTGTTTCCCGATTTTCGATCTATGACAACTAGATCCATACTACTAATTAAACATATCAATTTAGTACGGGCAAGGCCTTGCACATGATTGTCAATCATCGAATCATCGAGGGGCCAAAATATATCATTTTTTCCCATAAAGGAAAATGAACGAATAAATTTCGACTCATATGCTTGTATCTTTTACTCACCAAATCATGCATGATACTATGTTTTATAACATCACGTTACTGATGCATTTTGTAACACCAATGCACAACCGACTTGTAAATTACAACTCATATATCATTATTTCAAGAATATAATATATTACCGTCTCGGAATTACTCGTGATAGAATTCATGAAAATTCTTTGAGTGTGGGTTTATTTAATTCTCTAAATCCTCATTTAGTAAGTATTCATGAACATTGTAGCAATCTTATTGCAATGTCTAATCTTCACATAAGATTTACAATTCAATTTATGATAGTCTTAATTCACTGCTTACTTCCTAAAGTATGAGCGACTGTTAAACTTTTAATAATTAAATTATTCAGGAAGTAAAATATGCAAAGTGAATCACAATAATAAATTAATTGACTATGGTCTCACACTCATTGAATATAAATAATATCTATTAATTAATCACCATAATAATTACCACTGTATTCATTGTATAATGTTTGGAACAATCAACTAACCACTTGAATTTCTCTTTCAAAAAAAAATTAACCACTTGAATTAAATAACATGAATCATCCCATGTTATGAACATGCATATTATGCTGCTCTATGGTTCTTCCTTTGTGAACATATCAAATGGACATTATTCTAATGATATTCATTTCACAATTCTAAATTTTTATCACTATCTAAAATGTACTAGAATTCCAACTTTACATGCATTGACCTTCCGTGATGTCAAGGCTTCAAAGTCATAGTGACTGAGCCAACGATATTACATAATGTTCCATTGGAACTTTGTTACTAGAAACAACTTCATGGTAATGAAGTTTCGGATTCAAGGTATACTTCTTGAACACTTATTTTGCATTAAAGTTTCCAATTCACATGTATACTTAATAATAAACCCTCGTTATGAAAACATTTCCATATTCTCGTATGACCATCAATTTTGACTAAGAATGTCACACCCCCAACCCAAGGATGGCGGAAACATATGGGGGTGGACTTAATGTATAGTATCACAACAAAGAGTATAACAGTGCTCAAAATAATTACAATCATCTAAATATAATTGAAAATGTCACATGGTTTCAAGTGCTACGTATTTCAATGACTGATTACAACATGGTATAAAATAGTTGTTCAATGTCGTAGCGTACCATCCTTAAAAGCTTATGATTTCCTGGTTTCGTTGATTTCCTGAGAATACAAGTAATTTCTAAAAAAAAAGTGTCAACAATTAAGTTGGTGAGTTCATAAACTTTTTGGACGAAGAGTTTGGAAACCGATCTTTATAATGAGTCGTGTGTTACCAAGAAAAATCCAATATTTTTCTTTCAAAAGTGATGTGAAGCCTTAAATGTCAAAACCAAAATTTACAGGTATTTTCCATGCTTAAAATAAATCATGTAAGTTCAAACCGACATAAACTTGTTTAGTTGAATGAAAAACCCGATACTTTGTAATGTATCCCTTTTTGTATAAACCCGGTACTTTGCATTCGTACCCTCGTTTATATGAATAGCCCGACACTTTATAGTTGTACCCCACTTAATGAATAAACCGACACTTTATAGTTGTACCCCACTTAATGAATAAACCGACACTTTATAGCTGTACCCCACTTAATGAATAAACCTACACTTTATAGTTGTGCCCCACTTAATGAATGAATCTTTTGTAATGACTTCAAAAAGTAAGATGGATCATAAACTATACCTATTATAGTTTATAAATAGTTTGTAATGTAATGAACATAACTATGCCTATGATAGTTTATCAAATGTTTGTAAGGTTAGAAATCCTTTTATTTTCTGTGTAATACATGTATCCATGGTGAAATGACTTGTAATATAACCAACATGTATTTATATATGATAATACACACCATGCTCAGCAAGTTACAAGGTGCAATTTAGCTAATAACAATTTGCTAGTTTTATCCTTTCTGTTCATGTTCTTGGAATATTTATAGAAAATTCATACGGAGTCAAAAATTGATTCCGTAAATTCTAAGAGTTTATAAATTGTGT